GGGTGGGCTTTGAGGTTTCCTTTACTCAAGTTACACTAAGTGTGGCACACAGTTCACTTCCAGTTGCCTGTAGATCAAGATCTAAAACTCTCAAATCCTTCTCCAGCACCACGTCTGCCTGTATGCTGCCATGTCCCACCATGATGATAATGGACTAAACCTCTGAAACTGTAAGCCACCTAATTAAATGTCTCCCTTTTCCAGGGGATCAGGTGTCCTCTTCTGACCTTCAAGGGCACTAGGTATGCACAGGCTACATACACATACATACATGGACTAAACTAAAAAGGAAAGAAAGAAAGAAAGAAGAAAAAATGAGCTGCTTTCTGAAGTTTTATATTATTTTTATTTTATTTTATGTTTTTAGTCAGTCTTTCACTATACAGCCCTAGGTGGCCTATAGCTTTCTGTGTATACCAGGCTGGTCTCAATCTCATAGAGATCTGCCTGCCTCTGCCTGCCAAGTGCCAAGATTAAAGGTAAAGGGTGTGCCACCATGCCTGGCATTATAACACTTTTTTTTTGCTTTTATTTTTCAAGATAGGGTTTCTCTGTAGCTTTGGAGCCTGGAACTCACTCTATAGACAAGGCTAGCCTCGAACTCACAGAGATCCTCCTGTCTCTGCCTTCCAAGTGCTGAGATTAAAGGTATGTGCCACCGTCGCCTGGCCTTATAATACATTTTTTATATACAGAAATAAAAAAAAAACAATGAAACCAACTGAGGTCCTGTTTTGCTTGGGGGAGATTGAGGGCACATGATTTCCAGAGTCAACAGGAAGCGGGCAGAGGTAAGAATGAAAGAGAACCTAGAGGCGAGTGCTCTCCGAGGCCCAGCTCCAGCTTCCCACGGCAGTGGAAAAGCTGCCGAAGATTATTGATTCATTCAGTGCTACAGCTGGTCCACTTAGGTGATTAAGAATGGCATGACACAATGAACAATGACATCACAGACGACACCGAAATCAAACATCAGGCCTAATATTAGGGGAATCTAAGGCCTCAACAGAAGGTTCCATGCTTACATCAACCCATGGGTACCGAGACCCCTAAATAAAAATATGAACATTGCCACCTCTCTTGGGACATGAATGAGGAGTACTCCCCCAGGGGCACTGTACTCTTTGACTACAGTGTGGTCTGTAGTCTACCTGTTCCAAGGAGAAGGTTATTCTGTAGGCTGTTGCCTGGGTCTCAATCAGTCTGTCTGTCTGTCTTGGGACCCTGGAGCATTCGAAGGGAAATGTGTTCACCTGGGCAGTTGTGCAAACATAATGACAACCACGAGTGAATGATTCAGCTGTTGCACACAGACTGCACAATGGTTGCTGGGCAGGCTCAGGGTTTTCCTGTTTACTGAACATTTTCATCTTAGACTTCAGTTGATCCTCACTGAGTGTGGTGTTGATTTTCTGGACAATAGCATGTTCGGAGCTGCTAGTCACTTCTAGGCTAGGTGTTTGGGGCAGGGGAGTCGCTTCGGTTTTCTATGCCTCGGTGCCCTCACCTGGGAGGTAGAGATGATTCCAGTACATTCCTTACCAGGGTGTGATGAATGAGGTGAACACGTGGACTCGAGAGCTGTGCCAGGAACACACTGCCTCCAAGCTCTCTGTATTCTTAGCGTCACCACCACCATTATTCTAGAAATTTGAGAACTGTGGTGTTGGTCACGTTGACACCTGAGTCTGATGACTCGGCGAGGTGGGGCTTTGCAAAGAAATCAGGTCTTGATTGCTTGTCCACATCGGGTGGACACCTGATGAGATTAGTGCCTCGGTAGGAGACCAACTTTTCTTTCTGTGTCTCTACAGGGGGAGTACTCAATACGAGCACAGGAGAGGAGTGGTGGGCAGGTGTGCACATCTTTACACACACGGCAACTGAGGTGAGGAAACGACTCCCTGCTCTCTCTAAGCAGAAGAGAATCTCCCAGTTCTCGGGTTAAGGTAATACATCAAAGATGAGGATATATAACTGTGTGAAGTTTTGAAAAATACTCAAATGTGTATGTGAACTTCCCCCTCCCTCTTCAAACATCTAAGTTCATTCAGAATTATGGTAAGATTCTAGAAAACTGGTCACGTGATTTCGAAAATCAGTTCAAGAAATGGGGCTGGACAGATAGCTCAGAAATTAGGAACATTCACTGCTTTAGCAGAAGATCTGGGTTTGGGTCTCAGCACCCACATGGTGGCTCACAATTGTCTGTAACTCTAGCCAGGGAACCCATCTCCTTCTTCTGCCTCCATTGGAACTGCACACACATGTTGCACATAATCTGCAGGTATAACTGAACTCAAACATATAAAATAAAAATAAACCTTAAAAAAAAAAGCAATTCAAGAGCTAGTAAAAAAACACCTTTGAAAAGGCTGGAGAGATAGCTCAGAAGTTAAGGGCACAGGCTGCTCTTCCAGAGGCCCTGAGTTCAATTCCCAACAACCATACAATGGCTCACAATCATCTATAATGAGATCTGGTGCCCTCTTGTGGCATGCAAGCATACAAGCAGGCAGAACACTGTATACATAATAAACCTTAAAAAAAAAACCACATTGTTGAAATGGAGTAAAGTAAAATCAGTCCTATACTGTTGGTATTCTCAAGTGTTTGTGGCCACTAAGGGATGGCGCTTCATGCTGATTGTGGGCTTTGTGCGCAGCCTCTTTCGGTTTTGTAACATTCTAACAGCACTGTCGCATACCGACCTAACAACCATTTCCAGCCTTATCAGGCTTGTTCAATTCCCTACCAAAAGGGCTGAAAATGCTAACCATTTCCTTTTGTCTGTTTACCTCAATCCTGGTCCATGACATTTAAGGAGATGAGAACCCCTCTCCCCTTATTTAAAATGCTATCATATGGAGGATGTGATGTCTGGAGTTGTGGCAGCCGTCTTGTGATCAGAAAACCTTCAGCTTGAAGCTAAAAGCTAACACAAAGGGAAGTAAGACTGGGAAGACGAAGAGTCCCTGCAACAAGAGTTTTCATGGGAAGACTCAACATAGACATCTGCTTATTCCAGACAGGGAGTCCATGACAGACCAAAGTACGGATAGCACCGAAGCCCAACTTCGGTGAACTTGTTGAACCAACTTGGTGAACCAGTGAGTTTTATTGGAGTTACTTACAGGAATATGGGTGCAAAAATGCTTACCTGCAGGAGCAAAAATGACTCAAAGACAGCTGCATCACCAAATCCACTCTAGCATGGGTGACAGCTCAGACATGGGCTACGGCACACTGCACGGCCGGCTCCATGCAAGCTGGCCTTTCCGGCTCCTCTAAACAGCTGCCAGGTAGCTCGGCTGGTTTCTGTAGCACAAATTCTAATTGGTCTTAAGAAATAAAACCCGTGGCTGGAGAGGTGGCTCAGCGGTTAAGAGCATTGCCTGCCCTTCCAAAGGTCCTGAGTTCAATTCCCAGCAACCACATGGTGGCTCACAACCATCTGAAATGAGATCCGATGCTCTCTTCTGGCCTGCAGGCAGACACACAGACAGAATATTGTATACATAATAAATAAATATTAAAAAGAAATAAAACCTGGATCAGATATTAGGGGCTGAAACCTGAAGGATCAGAGAAGCAGAGCAGCCAGTCACTAGAGAGACCATTTACCTCTACCAACGCTTAAATCCGAAGTGGCAATCCTGTCCTTAGACTGTCTCCCCAGACTGCATCCTCAGACTGCAGGGGTGATCCTAAGACTGCAACTATCTCCACCAAACCCCATACTGCAAATGAACTCCTGTCTCCTCCTGCCTCATATTCCTCTCTCCGTCCAGCCATATCACTCCTGTCTCCACCTCCCTAGTGCTAACTAACTAACTTACTAACTAATCAACAGAGACCCCTCTGTCTCTGTCTCTTGAGTCCTGGGATTAAAGGTGTGTGTGTGCCACCACCACCGGGGCTCTAGTGGCTTAGCTCTGCACTCTGATCTTCAGGCAACCTTTATTTGTTAAAACACAAACAAAATATCACTACAGGTTTCTGTTTCTTCTAGAGCCGCTAGTCTGGTCTAGTCTCTGCAGTTTGGCTCACCTCAGAGATGATGCTCCTCTATCTTTATTGTTTGCAGGTGGAAGAGAAACACACGTCTCTGGCAGCATAGCAAACAGGTTAGATGGAAATCTGTTTCTAGAAAATGCCTTCCTTTCAAACACTTAGAAAAATCAAGGTGCCTAGACAAAGGTTTTGGTTTGCTGACGACATGAAAGGGACTGAGGAGGACAAGGTGACACGGGACTAAAATATAAAAAGTTGCATCTGATATTGAGCCGAATCTCTGAACCAATGAGGGTTCTCTGCCTCATCTCTCTGCCCTTCATCTTTGAGGAACCATGGCTCGCTTTTAAAGGGGTCTCTCTCTCTCTTCTTTTTTTTGAAACGGTCTAACTCTGTAACCCCAGCTAGCCTTAATCTCATGGCAGCTCCCCGACCTCGGGTTCCTAAGTGATAGGAGGGATTGCAGGTGTGAGGCACCCCTGGTTGATCCCTAACAAATACCTCTAGAAAAAATAGTAATAGAAAACCTGGCTACATCTAGTTTCTTTAACTGTCTTAACTTTGGTGAAAGATTTCTAGGTGAAAAAAAAAATAATGAGTCTTGCTTAACAAGAATTTTCTGGCTGTCTTGACATTCCATTTCCCCACCTTCCCAAAGACTTCTTAGACCGCCTCTGGGGCAGCCTTTCCGGACTCAAGGTCAGCCTGGAGAGTCCCGCCCAGGGAGAGCTTCAAAGTGACCCTACAGTGGCTTTTCCATCCTATGTGCGCTCTCTCTGGTCACTGTGGCTGCCCAGGGAAGGCAATCGGTGGTTTACACTGGGTCTGAGACTCTGTCCATCAGGGACAAAGGTGAGGTACAGAGGAGCGAACCCCACAATGCACCACTGCTTTTCCACAGCTCTGATACCTTAACCCCCAGGTGTTAACTGCATCATTTCCCCTCACGCAGGGAGTTAAAACACTTTACACGGAGTTGCTAACAATTCTTTCAAATAAATATTTATTTTGCAAATCAGACATTCACTTTCAAATATAGTTTCTCTGTAAATCCAATTTTTTAAGGTATTATATTTACTTGTAATTCACTAGAGGCAACTGAATGGTATCATTTTACAATGGGCGGAATTAAGAGTGTAGATGCAATTGTTCCAGATAGAAGGTATATTCTATTTTTATATACAGTCTGAACCAGAAAGGTATATTAATTACACAAGCATAAATCTTTTAGTTTAATTAATAAAATATATTCATTCCATACAATAATAAAATATAATCGAATATTTGCTGAAATACTTAAAAGGGTTACAAAATAATCTGGATTATCACTGAAGGAATGTAAATACAAATCTGTAAAAAGATATTTTCTGAGAACAATCCCTACAAGGTTTAACATTTCCAAATATCTTACATACATAAAGAATAAATTATTCCCGGTTAACACAGTTTTGCCTTAGGGCCATACAAGCTGTAACAATTTTGAACACCTTAAAGTCCCAAATTTTCTAGGGTAGGTTCTGCCAGCGTTGGTTGGGGGAGGGGAATGCTCACAGTAATGACAAGGTTAATTAGCAGGCCGAGAGGCTTGGAAGGAGGAACAGGAAAACCAGAGGGAAGGCGACGCCAAGACACTAGACAGGTCAGGCCAAGCACAGGCTTGCTGTGGCTCAGGATCTGGTGCCTGAAGCCTTCTGAGAGACTCCAGCAAGACTTGGGCTTTGAGTAGGGCCTTTGTTCCTGAATGTGACTTGCTGAGGTGCCTGGCACACTTGAAGCGAAAATCATGTTGCCAGATTTTAAGAAAAGCAGTACAGAAATCAAAGCAAATGTCTCCAGTGAGGAGCCCCAAAGGGGCTTTGCATACGAATGCAGGGAAGGAGTGAAATTGGACTTGAGGCTCTAAAAAAAAAAGCCAGAGGGAGCCAGCTGTGCTGACTAAGGCTTAGAAACCCAGCACTTGGGAGGTTGAGGCAGAATAGAATATTCAAGACCTGTGGCTTGGTCCTCAGCAAGTGCCACGGCGCGGGGGTTGGGGGAGGACAGAAAACACAGTACCCAGCCGAAGGCAGAGGAACACTTTGAGAAGAGGGTGAAGCACGCTGCCCACGGGACTCTTCTACCCCTGTAGCAGCTACTGCTAAATGTCCCCACAGGCTCGACCCAAGGCTGCCATCTGGAAACCTGCCAGACATTTCCCAAGGGCTCTGAAGCCTCCGCGAGGAAAGCTCAGTTAGTGTGTGGTCATGGCACCCACACACTGTATGTCCAGGGCAGCGACGGGAGGCCATGCATAGTTATTTATAGCTCAGTGCTTTTCAACTTTATTAGGAAATAAAGGGAACACAGTCCTGAACACTCCCAAGTTTCAGATACGCATGACACCCACACCCTCAATGACAGCAGAGCTTCTAAGGTCAAACAAAACTGTAATGTTCGAGGAAGGACTCTAGAGCAAATCAGCATAGCCCGCAGAGACCAGGAGGGCTGCGGGGCGCTTTAAGCAGACACAGGATGTGTTCCTTAGCATACTTGATCAAGATATGGGGACATGGACAACCGCACACCGTGCTTTTCTCCTCCAGGAGATGATACGAGCATCTGGGCTTTGAGCCCTTCTCCAAAGCTGTGCTGCCTGCAGGTAACTGTGGGAAGGCCTTCTCGGAGGCCTGCAGGGTGCATGGGGACTGCTGGACGGGCAGTCTGTGGAGACTCTATTGAAATGGGGAGAGAAAACAACAAAGTGCTTTATTGGGTGTTTAAGACTTTTTTTTTTTTTGTCTACTTGAAAAGGATACACTTCTATTTCACCCTGATACTCTTCTAATACAAAAGCACTTGATTTCCATAATATGTGGGGCTTAGAATCTTCTTAAGCAAATGTTTTTTTTTTTTTTCTAAAGAGGCAAGAACTTAATGATTTCTAAAACTTGGAAATTACATTCAAGGAACAAAAGGTAGCCTTTATTTTTAGCAATGTGGTTGGAATCGTGACAAGGGCTGATTTAGTCCACAAATCAAATGGTGATGTGTCTAGGGGTTTCTACGCTGTGCACCAGCTTGTACATTTGTGCCTGCATGGGAGAAAGCCAGGAAGGGTCCCATGGTGTCACCGCTTCCCAAATGCTCACTCTCCTCCATGTGCCAACACCTTAAATAAGAGGAGAACGAGCTTCTCCAGAAAAACACCAGGATCTGTTTGTTTTAAAGACAGAGGAAAAGTGGATGTGAGGTCATCTCTAGCCACAAAGAAATCAATGCACATGAGGCCGACGGCAAGCGTGGCGGCTTTCCCTGGGCGAGGGAGCTGCGCACAGACACGGGCACACTCATTCTGAGCGCTGTGTACACTATCTAGACAGCCCACGGGGGAGAGTGCAGTGTGCCATTTTATATAAAAAAAAATGGGTGGACAACCAGAAGGACGTTTACTCAAAACCGCAAACTGAAGCAGGGTTTCATTCTAAGAATTCTACGTTTTCTAGGGAGGTAACGCCATGGGTGTGGTGAGCTCCCACAACGTGAAGGAAAGTAAGAGGACGAAGAGGGGGAAGCTAGCGGGCTGAAAGATAGAGGCTGGGCGTGGTGGCACTGCTGAAGGACTGTGAGTTCAAAGCCAGCCTGGGCGAAAGAGCAAGCCCTTAATACCAGAAACACATGATTGGCAGCAGTGAGAGAACTTGTGCTGGAATCACAAAGATGCATTAGGCACCAGGACTCCCAGCTGCAGGGTACATTAACAACAAGCACCACGTTTTACTAAGACACTGAAAACAAAGGCCGCTAAGGTGCAGCAGCTCCCGCAGCAGAAGCAAGGCCATGCCAGGAGCGGCTGTTGATGAGGAGAAGAGCTGGTATTCTGGGTTGGACTCCAAGGATTCTTCAGATTTAAAGCTATTTTGTCTTCAAAATGAGTTCCCGAGTTCTCCACCTTACAGACTACTTAGAGCAGCCGAGGATGACATCAGCATTTATTTCTGTCATATACTGCAGGTTTAGACCAAGTCCATTGCTTTGGTCGAATGGAGTCTTGAAAGCGTGGTTCATACTGCTTGGTCAGAAAGTCAACTAAAGAGGGGAGCGCTGAAGAAGAATGACAGAAATCCCGACTTCGTCACCTTGGTTACGGATCCACGGTTTGCCCAGAAATAAACGATATGTATGAAGTCAAGTTAGGACTGAAACTTGAAACAAGAAGCAAAAAGTGGGACGGGGTAGATGGGACAACAGTCTCGTACTCTTAAGGCAAAACGATAGAAATTTCTTTAAATAGGCACTTTATTATATCCACAGGCGATAAAATCCCAGAGCTACTGTTAGGCACGTAAACACAGACCCTGCAAGAGAAACAACCGAGAGAGCTGTTAGCCCCGAAGACACTCTCAGGGATTTTCTTTTGTGTTGGACCAGGTGTCAGGCCGGAGCCAGTTAGAGGGCGGAGTGAGGAAGGGCAGCTGACTACAGGCACTTCCTCCCTCTCCTTGTGCCAGTCAAGGCCTGAAAACAGTGTACCAAAGGGGTGCCGTCCATGAAACACTGTTTGTTAAAGAACATGTCTCCACCCGGCAGCCAGCACCAGCATCTTCCCACTACAGACGTGTTCAGGGGTCAGGAAGACCTTCCAATGCCAGCTAGAATCACCACAACTGGGGTCAAAGTGCATGCACGTGTGCGATCCACTTCCATTTAAGGAGCAACATTTCACTACTAAATGCTGCTATAACTTTAAAACACTTGATTAATCTGAAATGGTAGCACTGACTTGAAATAGTGATTTTTAAAAAATATTTTTTTTTATCATACGTGAATGAGTGTTTTGCCTGCATGTCTGTATGTGCAATGTGTACATGCCTGGGGCCGATGGAGACCAGAAGGTATCAGATTCTCTGGGACTGAAGTTACAGGTGATTGTGGGCTGCCATGTGGGTGCTGGGACTTGAACCCAGGTACTTTGCATGAGCAGTGATGTTAAGCACTGAGCCATCTCTTCAACCCCCCGGTGATTTTTTTTTTTGATGCCAAAATATTCCTTCTTTGGCTGAAACATTACGAAAGCAAAAATAACTTCTTTACAGGATTGCCCTGGGGCTGGAGAGATGGCTCAGCGAGAGCACCCGGAGTCTGAATCTCCAGGACTCAGCTAGAACACTGTGCATGCTCATAACCCGGCTGTGGGCAGTGAGATTTCACTTGGATTTTGATAAATAAAAGCTTGCCTAAAGTTCAGAGAGTAAAACGGCCACACTGCTCAGCCCCACAGACCAGGCAGTGGTGACACACACCTTTAATCCCAGTAGCCACACTAGTTTGCTATAGAAACCGGGCAGTAGTGGTGCACACCTTTAATCTGAGCATTAGAGGGGAATATAAATGGGAGGAGACGGCTCATTCTTCTGAGATTCCTGGAGGCAGGACCGCCATTTTGGACTGAGTTGAGGTAAGAGCCAGTGGCTGGCTGTTTTGTTTTTCTGATCTTCAAGTTGAACCCTAATTTCTCTCTCTGGGCTTTTATTAATTTTGTGCTACAGCTGTGTGTGTGTGTGGTGTGTGTGTGTGTGTGGGCGTGGGGAGGGGAGAGACAGGACTGCAGGCTGATATCTTAGCTCCAGGTTCAGAGAGAGACCCTGTCTCAAGGGAACAAGGGAGAGAGCGACAAAGTAGGGAAGCCATGCCCTCCTCTGGCTTCTTCAGGTGCACACATGGGTACCCCCCTCCAAGTGTCACCAACGGAGTAAGATAGTATAGATACACACTGGACAGAATGTACACACTGGACAGTCTGTACACGCTGGACAGAATGTAGACACTGGACAGAATGTACACACTGGACACAAATCAAAGGTCTTCCATTCTATTTATATGCTATTTTCTGTACTGAGCTTCACTGAAATCCCTAAACCATAAGGACAGCATCCTATCAAATTTAAGGTCTCATTATAAGGTTAGCATAGTATCATATACATATACTATAATAAAGTACATTTATTACTAAGGAAGAAAAATGCAAATTAAAGGAGCTACTCCATCTACTGGGAACTGCAGGACGTGCTGCAACACAAAGACGTTAGAGCAGGAGCCGGCGTCGGTCAGCGACATGAGCTGCCCGCCCCTGACTGGTCTATGATGCTCACTTCATTCTTTCCATATGTTTTAAATGCTTGGGTGTGAAGCAGCTCACCTGCTAAGTATTTGATTGTGTCAAGCTTGTGCGCCTCCAGCAAAGTCTTGAGGCCAGCCACCTCGGTTTCTATCTTCCTGTCTGTCTGGGTCAGGGCTCTGTCTTGCTGGGCGTGCTTTGAAAGCAAAGAGGTTGAGAACGTTAGAGTCTGTGGGTGCTGGTCTGTGCCCTGGTGCTCTGACCCAGAGCTTGTTCTCAGCACGGTGCAGTCCCGGATTGAGAGCTGGAGCTGGCTTTAGTCTTGGCTCTGCCATCCTCTGGCCACAGGGCCCTTAACACCCTCTGTCTCAGTTTCTCTCTGTTTGGAAAAAGGCATTAGAAACAGAACAAACCAACAACCTACCACTGGTCTTGCCTCCAGAAGAGCTATTCAGAGACTCGAGAACAATAATCTATATGGCAAAGTTGTTGAGAACCAGACCAGCCCGCTCTCGACGGTTAGTGATGGTAGCCTCTGTCTAGCCCTGCAGGGGACAGTGGACATGGAAGTTCCGCTGAGAGACGAACATGGCCTTAGATCTGATAGCAACAGAGCTGACTCAATATTATTTCTAGCCACGCCTTTCCAGGCTGTCTTTTCCACAAGTCAAACGTCAAGTGTTCTATTAACATCTGGCTCGGCGACCAGGGGCCGATTTATGTCCTTCTCCAAATGTGAGAAAACTCCAGACCACACATTTAACCATCAGTGGACGATGGCTCTGGCTGTCGTGTTAGTGCGTGAAAACACCAAGAGCCTTCTACTAAAAGTCCAAGGACAAGAAGGTTCTTTTTGGTTTTTCAAGGCAGGGTTTCTCTGCGTAGTCCCGACAGTTCTGGAATTCGCCCTACAGACTAGGCTGGTCTCAAACTCACATAGATTTACCTGCCAAGTGGCTTTTTAACAGCATCAATGCGGGTAAATAATAAAAAAAAATGAAGCCAAACAAAGATCTGTGTATCCCATGAAGGTCCTGCAGCACAGGTTCCAGGCAACACAACATATATTACTATAGGGATCTACCCTGTAAGCTACACTCAGGCCACTCAACCGCTAGGGTATGTATGTATGTATGCATGTATGTATGTATGCATGCATGTATGTAAGTATGCAATGTATACAGAAACACACACACATCAATTAGTTCATGCCTTAAACTGAAAATACAAGTAGTGTCTTATATTTTGTCATTTGTCAATCACTGAGACTTAACGTTAATTCAGAAACATGATTTTATTTTTGTTAAGTTTGAAAGTTTTATGGTATTTCAACTACTGGGTATTTATCCCAAATAACTCAAGCAAAAAAAAAAAATCTAAACATGTCTATGCATCCATGCTTGTCACACTTCACACAGCAGCTGAGTGACAGAAGGAAGCCACGTGTGCGTCAACAGATGAATGAACGAGCTGTGATAACCCAATAGAACAGCACCGTCTGAAGACGGAAGCTGTGCCATGTGCAGTATGGACAAATGGGAGGAACGGTACTCACTGGAGCCAACCAGCCACGGGAGACAGATGGGCTCTGGCTGCACTGACACAGGTCGGCTGGAAGAGCAGACCCAGAGAAAGCAGGAAGGAGGCTGTGGGACTGGGAGGAGGGGGAGCGAACCAGGCTCTATGGGACACAGCTGGGGGCCAGAGAGATGGCTCAGGTGTGTGCCTGTGACTCCAGGGCCGAGAGGTGGGCAGGTGGACCCTGGAGCTCTCGGGTCAGCCAGTCTAGCCAGCCACCAAGTTCCGGCTGCAGTGAGAGACCCAACAGCAGGGGGAGAGCGATTCAGGCAGATACTTGATATTGACCTCTGACCCCTACAGAAGTGAGCACAGTTGTGCACCCCTCCCAAGGAAAACACAGCTTCAGCTCTGCAGAATGAATGACACTGGGACGGGGACATGGCTCAGTAGTTAAGAGGACTGACTAGTCGTTCTTCCGAGGGTTTCGAGCTTGTTCCCAGCACGCATGTTGGACAGCTTACAACGTCCTGTAACTCCAGCTCCAGGGGTCTAATGACCTCCTCTGGCTTCTACAGGCACTTGTACTCATAGGCGCATACCCGCAGACAGACAGACACCACACAGACAGACAGACGGCACACAATTAAAAATAAAGCAAATCTTCAAAACATGCTATTGAATTACACACTAAACTTCTTTCAGCGATAATTCCTGCATACATTTTGCCACAATGAAAAAGGATCCCACAGTAAATGTGCACATCTTCCTGCAACACGTCAGACGATGGTTAACCCCAAAGCCACGCACGGGGAGAAGCAAAGCTAAACAGAATGGCAGTCAAGTTGGCCCCGGTCCTTACCAGAGACACCATTTCTGTCCTCAGCTGCAGCATCTTCTTCTCGTTCAATGAGTACTGAAACAAGCATGCAGCACGGGTTAGTCTGGTCCACTGTCTTTCTGCGGCCCAAACCTTTCGTTCTCACCGCTTCCCAGAACATCTGACAGGAGACGTCACCCTGCACCCCTGCAGCCCTCAGCTCTTTCTCTGAGCCTTCTTATTCATATCCACTGGCTGCGCCAGCTGTTTTAATATCGACTTGAGTCATTTGGGAAGATGGACCCGCAGTTGAAAACACAGCCCACCAGGCTGACCTCAGAGCATCTTCCTGATTTGATGTGGGGGCCCAGCTCACTGTGCTGACGGCCCAGGGGCTCTAAGCTGGCTGAAAAAGCCGTGGGGAACAGGCCAGTAAGAAGCGCTCCTCCATGCCTCCAGGTTTCTGCCCTGACTTGCCTAAATGACGGACTACACATTGTGAGCTGAAATAAACCCCGTCCTCCCCAAGTTGCTTTAGGTCACAGTGTTTCCCCCAGCAACAGAAAGGAAACCAAGACACTGCTGATGTGTGGCGCCCTCCACTTCTCCTTCTCTCTGCTATTTCTTGTTCTGTCTCTTGACTGTGATATCGCTGGGTCCTGCCCGCTGTTAGAACAGCCTAGCTTGGGTCCCATTTAGATGGGTTTGAAAGAACTAATAAAGAGGAGGGGCGTCAGTTTAATTTAGGAATGACGCTCCCATAACAAGAAGCCAGACAGACATTACTGACAGAGGAATTATAGGAACAACATAATATTAGGAAAAAAACTGTTCAAGCAATATGATCCTGTAACATGATATACTATTGCTAGAAAGCTTAACATAGAATACATAACAAGAAACACAGCAAAGCATCACAGACTCTCCTAACAACAGTGACCAAAAGAACCCTGCTGTGGGAAGCCACAGCCCAGTGTTTCTGAAGGTCTTTAATGGTAGTAAAAAGACTTACTATGGCTCTTTTGACAATAAAATAAAAATCAGACATGTTTCCATAGTAACAAGCATTAGTATTTAATCGGGCAAACGGCAACCTGTAGTTTAAACGAACATTTTAAAGAATTAACATTGCTAACAAGAAAAATAGCAATGCCTTAAAGAACCTACAAAATTTCTCGCTATAAAATGTCCCAGTCAAACCCCCAGAGCAACAGAATGTAGTAAGGCAGTGGTCAGGAATAAAAATGCATCCCCAAACTCCGGAATCCTGAACTAAGGAACCAGGCTGGTGACTCAGGACCCTGTTACATAAACTGGAAGGGTTTCAGATCTGTGCCATTCATCATATCACCACCAGAGGGCAGAGTGGAGCTGGATGGTCTGTACCCCTTTAAGCTCACAGCATTAACAAATCCAGAGATAAGAAAGGCCTAGATCTCGACACACGGTCACGCTCATTAAAATGACGCTCTGGTGGCCGTACATTCTGGAAAACAGCAGTATTCTAGGCTACTATGGAAATGGCTGTAATATCACCACAACTAATTTTTGTTGGCTGTATCAAACTCAGGGCTTCGCGCATGCTACACAAGAGCTCAGCCAGGGAGTTACAACCTCAGTCCTAATTTAAATTTGAAATGAGTGTTTTAATTTTATCAAGAAGAAAGTCAAACCCTTCATTTGCACTCATTCTCTGTCACCCATTTACTAGGTACCATGCATGCAGTTCTGCCTGTTGCTTCAGAGACCCAAACCCGACATCCTCCCCTCAACAAATCCTATACGTTCACAGGTTTTTATCCGTATCCACGCCCTGCAGCTCCCAGTCTCTGAGATATATTTCTTTGCAGCTTGGTTACGCACAAGCACACAGTTACCTTTCTAAACCAAGTGAACTGCAGCAAAACCTAGCTGTCGGAGGCCACAAAAGGGCTCCCTCTGCAGGAGAGGGGTCTTTGAGACTCAAAGGTATTTTAAAGACAGCCAAATGGGCGCAGCAATTACTTGGCATAACAAAGCTTAACTTGAGCACTGAAATCCAACCGCAGCTCAGGTGTGATGCTGCACAGGTCTGAGCTCCAGTACTAGCTTCATCCCCCTACTGTGACACACCCTGACCAAAGACCGACTGAAAAGTGATGAGCAGGAAGGGCTACGTGGGCCCCCATGCGTGGGATCTGATGTAAAACGTAATTAAAATTTAAACTCAAGTTGTGAACTCTGATAAATGGACAAGTGTCTGATGATAGTTGTATCTTGCATATCAGACTAAGACTTCAACAAGCATTCCATTCTAAAAAGAAATAAATTAATGATTTACTCTTAATAAAGGAACATACCAATTCTTTTACTCTGCTCTTCTCTAGATTGAAGTTTAATTTGGTGTCTGTCCGGACTTTGAGTACTTCATCCTGGGCAGAGAGCAGAGGACAAAGAGAATGAAGGAGCCAGCAGAAGAAATCTGAACCTCCTGAGGGCTTACACCGAGGACTGCCCAGCAGGGAGCCAGCCCAGCAGGGGCCTTGAGACTCAGGACTCTCAGGTCAGCTCTGAGCCTGGCCCTCCCAGTTATCTGCGCAGATAATCCCCATCAGCCTGGGAAGGCTCAACTGTTTTAACCTCAAGACTCGCCTTATGACCTCCCTCACAGAATCTGAATTCCTCCAACCATTTCTGAAAGCAAAGACAGAACCAAAGGACAAATAATCAACTCTGGTTACATTAAGCTTTCTCGCTAAGATGCACCAACATCTTTTCTAATGCCACCGTTCTTTCCTACTTGACAAAGTGACCAGCTGCTGGGCGAGCAGACATCTAAACCCACATGGAAGACTACTAAGCCGCCCTCTTATAGAACGGTCTCAGGGACCCAGTTGTGATTTACAAAGACTCAGGCAGGTGTGGTGGCAGAGGCTATCAACCCCAGCACTCAGGAGACACAGAGGGAGGTGGAGAGCTGGTGGGAGTCTGGAACTTTACATATACTGAGACCCTATCTCAATAAAGAAAAACACACCTTCCTACAACACAATTTCCTTAATGACTGTGGTCACAGACAAGGGTAACTGATACATCACCCGGTGTGTGCTTTGAAGTGTATTACACAAATTTCACAGCATTGCATGCTTCAGCACACACGATGCACTTGTGACATTTTATCTATTCATGAATTATGGGATTCCATACACACTTGAGGGCAGGAAAGAGAACTTACCATCACTTGCTGTTTTAACTGGTGGAGTTCAAGTTTTATTTTCTAAAAACAAAGTAAAGGGAAGAGTCAAGGACGTGTGCCAGTTAAGGAGGCAAACACAGAACAAACATCACAGCAAACATCTAAGCACAGGTGCCCCAGTCGCGACCATGCTCAGGACACAGAACTCCCTGAGCTGGCTGTGGAGGAGCAGCCTCAGCACTGGGGACACTGAGGCAGAATTGTGCAATGAATTTGAGGACAGTCTAGCTATATACTGAGTAGAACACCAGAGTCTGGGCTACATAAAAAGGCTCTGTTTAAAAAAAAAAAAATCCCCAAACCCAACTGACTAAAAAGAACATTTACAGTCATCCTATAATGCACGTGCAACTGGGAAACCAGGCTGACTCCCCCTTTTTGGTCACATCAAGTGAGGAACTGTGACACACATTTGTCCAAGGGACTCCATTTTCTTCTTAGGCTCCCCCCCAATTCTGCCCTCTACAAGGTGAGTTCAAAGTCAACTGTGTGACTTCCCTTACAGGACTTCAACAGGACTGAAGATGAAAGCCAGATGTGAAGAAGCATTTCCCTAAGCCACACACTACACTTTAAAAGAGGCAGAAAGCGGCAGGTGGGATGGCTCAGTGGGTAAAGCACTTGTCTTGCAAGCCCGACAGCCTGAATTCTATCCCCAAATCCTATTGGAAGGTGGAAGGAGAAAACCAGCCCCGCGAGGTCGTCCTCTGACCTCCACAAGCATGCACTGGAATTCACGTATGCACAGACATACACATACATTGAATACATACACAATAACAAAAATTGAGGCTAGAGAGATGGCTTATTGGTTGAGAGCACTAGTTGCTCTTATAGAGGGCCCAGGTTTGATTCCCAGCACCCACACAGCAGGTTGCAACCATCTGAAATCCCAATTCCAGATGATCTGACACCTTCTCCTGGCTTCTGTGGGCAGTGCATGCAAGTAGCACACATACATGCATGCGGGAAAACACCCGCAAACATAAAAAGGCTTAAAAAGAAATAATACTTATTGAATTACTTATTTTTGGTAGGAAAGTGGTAGTCTATAGATTTATTCCTAACCTTCCAGACTGGGGGGAAAATCCGAATACCTACTATAGTCGGATGATGTGCATATTAATATAATAGCATAGACAATGAAAACATAAGGTTCTGTTATGCAAAGCACACTGTATGCATCTACCAAACAGAAGTCTAGAATGGGCACACTCCGTGGCGGGTTAATCAGCCAGGGTTGTTCACTTCTTGAGAGGAGGCACGAGAAGGGGTCTGGGCTGGATTCCCAGGGCTAGGAAAGTTCTCGCCTTGATGTGCTCAGCTGTGCAACCCTGCACAGTCACTCTGAGTTATTTCCTTGTGCCCTTCTAGGTGTGTGCAGCTCAGCGTCTTTAGCAGAGAGAATGTTAGCGTAGCAGAGCGGCTTTACCTCGTTTTCTGCTCGGAGGGCTGAAAACTCACTCTTCTCCAGGATGACCATATCCTTCTTCACGTTAGCAATGTTAGACATTATCTGCTGAAGAGTGATTTCCTAGAGGAAGAGAACAAAGCACGGCCGCTAGCCCCACTTCTTCTCATCTCTACCTGCTGACACAGCTACAAAGAAACTGGAGCCGCGGGGCAGAGTGAGACTGGTAAGGGCACCCTCTGCCCCAAAGTGAGACCCCGAGGAGGACACTAATCCGTAGCAAAGCAAGTGAGTCACAGCTTAGGGGGAGAGAGACTGCACTCGGAAACACGAAGCTGTCACCTACAGCTCTGGCCGCATCTCCAGCCATTAACGTGAGCTTGCCTGGAACAGTCATGCTGACATAATTAGCATTCGAACACAATCCCATAACTAACTTAATGGCTTTCATGAAGTACTTTTGTTATGATTTTTGCCTCTGAACTAGAGTTAAAATTACCATACACTTATCACTGGGACATCAACCAAGAAGCTGCTTGAGTACTTATTACAAGTAATATCCTACTTTCGGATTTCCAATGTGTCAACCCACCCTGCCCGCATTACCTGCTCCACCTTGGTGACCGTATCACTGTAGACGATATTCATGTTGGTCTCTGTGATCTTGACCAACGCAGACACAATGATTTCTGCTTGCTGAGTGGTAAACCCTAGGCAAGCACACAGAAACAACTAGACTCAGAAGAAAAAAAACAAAGACAGAGGTGTAGGAAACACTCACGTTTCTGCGAAGGCCTGAATTCTGAAGAAAGAGGAAAGAACGGCACGGTGGGAAAGACGGACCTACAGGCTGTGACATGTCTGCCACTTGACCAGAAGTAAACACCTGAATATGTTTCAGGGGCTGGGTTCATCAGCAATCTCTAACACCGTCCTCAGGTTCCAAATCAAACAAAGTAGAACACGTCTGCTTATTGAGACGACTTTATATGTCCCTCATTTCATCTCTAGCTTTCTCTTAAATTTGAGGCTGAAGGACCTTTGGGTGGAAAACGCCTGCTGTTTCATTTGACGAGAAAAGCTGAACAAACTATAACACGGTGTTTGACCATTTTTCCAAAGCCCACTAAGAACATTACTGCATTTAATACCCTAAGGGATCTTGGGGTTCTTCTTATGTCTGTGGTACAAGTGGGCAGGCACACAGAAGCAGAGGAGGCGGGGCTTCTACAGCTACCCAGAAACCAGGGTGTCCGTCCACCCAACAGAGGCCACAGTGCTCACTTAGCACAAATGTGTGTAAGTGGGTAAATAAACTCAGTGAAGTAAACACAGACATGTTTATTTTAGAGGCATCCTCTATGTTAATTCAAAATCTGGTTTTAAGAATACATGTGCGATATTATAGAGGATTGTACTCAGCATATTTCTCTGAATATTAATTATAAGATCATATTCTGTGTTTCAAGTGTAATTTCAGTGACCAACTCCTGCAAGTTGTCATCTGATCTCTCCCCGACCACAGTAAATATACATAAAAAAAACAAAATAAAACAAAACCAAACCCCCCAAAATACAAAACAAAACAAATAAAACACCAATAAATCCCAAATAAGCAAAAATGTACTGTCTTTTCCACAGAGAGAAACAGTAAAGAAATGTGAGTATGTTTTATTACCATTGGTTAATAAAGAAGCTGTTTCAGTCAATGGCTTAGCAGAGTAAAGTCAGGCAGTAAAATCTGAACACACACACACACACACACACACACACACACACACAGAGAGAGAGAGAGACAGAGAGAGAGAGAGAGAGAGAAAGTAGGCAGAGTCAAAGGGACCCATGTAGCTGCTGAAGGAGAGAGACACCAGCCAGAACCTTACCTGGTAAGACATAGTCTTGGGGGAGGCTGGGGGGGGGGGTAAAAGTAGGTAGAGTCAAAGGGAGGTCATGTAGCTGCCGAAAGAGACACCAGCCAGAACCTTACTCAGTAAGACACAGTCTCATGGTGATACACAGATTAATAGAAATGAATTAATTCAAAATGTAACAGCTAGCCAGAAATATGTCTAAGCTATTGGCCAAACGGAGTTGTAATTAATATAATTTCTGTGTGACTATTTGGGTCTGGGTGTCTGGGAAACAAACGAGCAGTCTCAGTTTAGAGTGTATTAATAAAGCAAAAAAAGCTTCCTTATGCAGGATGCTTACCCAGCAGGTACTAAGCTCCGTTCTCTAGCCCTGCATAAACTGTGTGTGGTGGTACACGCCTGTAACCCCAAGGAAAGGCAGGGCGATCTGAAGTTCAAGGTTACCCTCAGTTATACAGAAGTTTGAGGCCAGTCTGGGATATGTAAGTCTTAAAGTGTCTTTCTTAAAAAAGAAGAAAAAGAGAAAAAAAAAAAATAAGAAGTGAATTTAAAAAAGAGGCTAGATAGAACTCTGCCATAGTTAGCTTTGGCTGTCGATTCTACACGCCTAGGAAGAGGAAGCAAACTTAATTGAAGCTCCATGACCCATGGGCATGTCTGTGGGGGTAATTTTTTTCTTTTTCTGGTTTTTCCAGACAGGGCTTCTCCTGTCTGTCTGTCTGTCTGTCCTGGAACTTGCTCTGTAGACCACAGTGCTGGGATTAAAGGCAAATGCTACCACTGCCCAGTCTGGGGGAATCTTTTTAAATTGCTAATTGATCTGAGCGGGCCACGCCCACCGTGGGCAGTGCCATCCCTGGGCTATTTAAGAAAGGATGCTGCTCAAGCCCAAGGAGTAGGCCAGCAAGCAGCACCCTCTGGGCTCTCAAGTTAGTTCCTACTGAGTTCCCGCCACACTTCCCTCAATGATGGACTGATGCGGGGGAATTGTCTGTATTCTGTCAATCATATTTTAATAAAACGCTGATTGGCCAGGCAGGCAGTATAGGTGGGAAAACCAGACAGGAAGTAGAGGTGATGCAATGAAAACAGGAGTATCCTGGAAAGCAGGAAGCCATTCCTTCACTCCTGCGCAGACCACCGAAGAGGCAACATGTAAGCTGTCACACTGAGAAAGGTATTGAGCCCATGTGGCTAACATAGATAAGGATAATGGGGTAATATATGTTATAAGAGTTAACAAGAAGCCTGACCTAATGGGCCAATCAGTTTATAACCTTATGGAGTCCTGTGTGTAATTTTTCTTTGTTGCTTGCCGGCTGTTGGGGTACTGGGAAGGACAGAAACCCCAACAAGCCAGCCCTCATACTACATATGGCGCCCAGACGTGGATAACTGAATCCACAGAAAGCTTGAAAAAGCTTGGGAAGGAATAGAATAAAGCATGTTTTGTTGGTAGCAGCAATTTCTCGGGTCTACTTTGCTTGCTAGAGGCAAGCAAGGCTCTCATCTAAGAGAGGCTTCCTGACTCAGCTTTAGCTGCAAAACCTTGCAGCTCATTAAGAGGTCCTGCCACAAAACACTTAAACGATGTTGATGAAAAGCTGAACACATGCTTTTCGGTTTTCAGTCGTAGCAGGAAAAATGCTGCACTGTTTTAAAATGCCGATTTTCTGGGCTGTCCTGCCAGGGCAAACTCTGACTCTTTCAGGCAGGCAGTCCGACTGAGTGTGGTCTGTGAGCAGAATGCTGCAGCTTGCTGGCAAGGACCTTGAAGCGCCATAGAGTTGTGGCAGTGAACACAGCTCTGGCTGGTACCTCAGCCACGAGGATTTAGCTGTCAAAGCCACGGCTTTCATCCTCTCTTTAAAGACTCCTGTAGTCAGAAAAAGAGAGATATATAGTAAAAGAAAGATTCGAAGTTGAAGAAAACCTCTAAATGGTTTACAGTGTGTTAAAAATATATGCAGGCTAAAAGTTAAAGTTCTTAATGTTAAAAAAAGGAAGAAAGAGAGTAGTTGGGTGTGGTGGTACACACCTTTAATCCCAATGCCTGGGAGGCAGAGGCATATTGATCTCTGTGACTTCAAGGGGTAGAGGTAGATTGACCTCTGTGACCTCAAGGTGTGGTAGTACACGCCTTTAATCCCAATGCCTGGGAGGCAGAGACAGATCTCTGTGAGTTCAAGGTGTGGTAGCATACACCTTTAATCCCAGCACTGGGGAGGCAGAGACAGGAGGATCTCTGTGAGTTCAAAGACAGCCTGAACTCACAGGCTATTGAGTAATAACACTAATAACTACAGTGTTATTCCAGGACAAAGATATACAAAGATCCTGTCTCAAAAAGTAAAAGTAAAAATAAAAGAAATAGAGGTTAAAATAAAGCCACATAAAGATGGAAAATGCACAGAGAATCTTCATACTGTATGCTATTATGCTCTCTTTAAATTGTTTGATTGCTGAGGAAGGAGCAACAACTGCTAAAAGACTTTTGTTTATAAATGCTGCTGAACTAACCCAAGATAGGAATTTTGAAAATACCTTGGCTTCAAAACTGAAGTCAAAAGGTATGTTACTTTGGAGAAGAGATTTTGCTTTTGTTTTCACAGAAAATAAGAGGTTGTGGATTCATTCTGAGTTAAGAAAAATCCAGTATGACCAAGGGAGGCCACCTGAAAAATCTCCGACAGGAATAGATGGCCCAGATGTCTGAGTTCTACATCCAGAACGGATTCAAGGCGCTGCCTGAGATGATCAGGTCTCACAGGATACTCCAGTCAGGACTTGATTATAACTCTAAATTTTCTTTAGGTCCCCATAAGATCATCAGCGCCCCCAACCAGCAGGAAGTAGCCTGAAATACTACTGCCCACATTCCCAACAAATGGACTATGGGTACTTTCCTTTGTTTAAAAAAAAAAAAAAAAGAGGGAAATGATGCGGGGGAATTGTCTGTATTCTGTCAATCATATTTTAATAAAACGCTGATTGGCCAGGCAGGCAGTATAGGTGGGAAAACCAGACAGGAAGTAGAGGTGATGCAATGAAAACAGGAGTATCCTGGAAAGCAGGAAGCCATTCCTTCACTCCTGCGCAGACCACCGAAGAGGCAACATGTAAGCTGTCACACTGAGAAAGGTATTGAGCCCATGTGGCTAACATAGATAAGGATAATGGGGTAATATATGTTATAAGAGTTAACAAGAAGCCTGACCTAATGGGCCAATCAGTTTATAACCTTATGGAGTCCTGTGTGTAATTTTTCTTTGTTGCTTGCCGGCTGTTGGGGTACTGGGAAGGACAGAAACCCCAACAAGCCAGCCCTCATACTACAATGGACTGTAACATGTAAGCCAAATAAACCCTTTTCTCCCCCGACTTGCTTTTGGTCACAGTGTTTAACCACAGCAACAAAAATCAAATTAGAACAGCAACCAAAAGCTTCCTGAAGGCTGAGAAGTTGAAAGAGAAATCCAGGAAAGGAAAGGAAAGGAACCTAGGCCGGAGAAGTCACTGAGAGCTGTGCTGACCCAAGGAAGATGCATGCAGTGACAGGGGTGGGCAGGAGTCAGGGGAGGAGGAGAGGGGTGGACAGGGGTCCGACCGCTTACCATTTGCTTCAAGTAAGCACACCAAAGCGTGGGTGTCAAAGTAGAGCTTCCGACTCACAGAAGAGGGCAAGTTCCCCTTTCTGTGCTCCAGCTGCGGGCACCCGGCAGACAGGCTGAGCTCTAGAAGGGAATAAAAAGGAAGCCAGATCAGTCTCCAGAAGAAACAAAAGCCATTCGAAGCTACAGGTAATGTGTCAATACCTCAGAAACCCGTCTTGTTTTTACAGTGCCATAATCCACACATACAATGTAACCCATTTCAGACATAAAATTCATTGGTGCCTTGTATATTGAAGAGTAGTCCCTAAGTCAACTTTCTCCATCCTGATCAGAAACTGTATCCTTCAGCCAGTACTCCATCTTGTCCCTACTGTCTCAGACAGGGAGGATCTCACTCTGCAGTCCAGACTGACCTAGATCAAACTACATGGCCCAGACTGGCCTCGAACTCACAGTGATACTTCTGCCTCATCTGCCTCCCACATCCTGGGATCTCAGGCTGGCGCCACCACACTCATCCTCTTCCCTGCTCTCCATCACAACCAGGAATCTATTTTCCGGCCTCCTATCCGCCTCCTCTGTATGTTTCGTATGCATGGAGTCCCACAGTGCGGTCTCGGCATTATGGTCAACGGTCATCCACGCTGCAGAACGAGCCAGCACTCTGTTTCTGTGTCACTGAGAGTATTCCACTGCAGAGCTAGCCCACACTGCTCATGCATTCGGTAGCTGGAGGGTGTGTGCTGTGTGCACATCATGGCTCTCACGAATGACCCCCGGAGCAGAACTGCAGGGTCACATGGTACCTGCTTAAGAAATTGCCAGATTTCTTCCTAAGTGCCACCACCAATTTTCTTGTTTACTCACAGCCAAGGAAGCTGCCAATTTCTCCACGTCCTCACTAACACTTGTTATGATGTTTGTTTTGTAAATTATAACCACCCTGGCGGGCACAAACAGTATCATGTGGCTTTCGCTGCACTGCTGTCATAGCCAACAATGCTGGTCACTGTCTCATATACTTACTAGAATCCGAGGATCTTTGAAGAAATGTCCATCCAAGTCCTTTGTCTACACAAGAATATACTAATACAGGTGTGGTGGCACACACCTTTAATCCCAGCACTTAGAAGGCTGAAGCTGGAGGATTTCTGTGAATTCGAAGCCTGATACACACAGAGTTCTATGACAACCAGCGCTACATAGAGACCCTGTCACAAACAACTCAGTTCTAAGCACCCCACGCCCCACGTGCTTTTTTTTTTTTTTGTCAGAGTGTCTTTGTACAGCTCTGGCTGTCCTAGAACTTCCTTTGTGGATCCTGGCCTCGAATTTACAGAAATCCACTTGCCTCTGCCTTACAAGTGTTGGGATTGAAGGCATGGGCTACCATGCACACTTGCTTCTGACTATTGAGCCATCTCTCCAGCCTTTTTGTCTATTTCAGTCCATTACTGATGCGAAGAGTTTGTCACATATCCCAAACACAAGTTCCTTGTTAGACTATTTCCAAATACTTTCTCCAATTATTAGTTAGTTAATATTTTTTAAATTTTATATTTATTTTTTATATATTTTTGTATTTTGAATCTTTGAAAAGTTCAATTTTGATGATGTCCAAATAACCTATTCCCTTTCTGCTGCCTCTACGTTTGATGCCATGTAGAAGAGACTATTGCTAACCCAAGTGTACGAAGATGGGCTCCATGTTTTCTTCTAAGAGGTTTCCAGTGTTAGCTTGTAACATGAAGGCCAGCTTGTTGGGGTATCTGTCCCGCCCAGTACCCCACAGCTGGCAAGCCCAAAGAAAATCACACACAGGACTCCATAAGATTATAAAGCTGATTGGCCCATTAACTCAGGTTTCTTATTAACTCTTATAGCTTATATTAACCCATTATTCTGATCTATGTTAGCCACATGGGCTCAGTACCTTTCTCAGTGAGACAGCTTACATGTTGCTTCTTCGGTGATCTGGGTAGCCTTATTCTATTCTCATTGCCCCACCTCTACTTCCTGTCTGGTTGACCCGCCTATACTTCCTGCCTGGCCAATCAACTTTTTATTAAAATACATGATTGACAGAATACAGATAATTCTCCTACACCATTAGCTCTGACATTGAGGCCTACGATCCAGGGGGAGCTACATATGGCACGAGGTAGCCTCCCTGTTCTGCATAAAGACGTCTAGTTGTGTCATTACCATCTGCTCTATGACACTGTCCTGTCGCTGGTTGAAAGTCAGCTGCTGTGTGTGAAGGTTTACCTCTGGACTCTCCATGTGTTTAATTTACCCAGAACATCTGTCCTCATCAGGAAGTGGATTTTGTTCTTTATCCTGATTGTAGGTCTATTCTAGATGAATTTTAGGGTAAGTATGCCATTTTTTTGCAAAGAGACTCTGAGATATTTGAGAATTGCATTCTATGAATTGATTAAGGGGTACTGTCATCTTAGTAATATAGCAATAATTACTATACTCAGATTAATAAACACGAGATCTCTTTCTATTAATTTAGGTCTTTGCTCCAATCATGCTCTACAATTCTCTGAGTGTGGGCTTTGTAATCTTTCCCAAACTTATCCCTAAGGGTTAGTTAAGGTCACGTCTAGGAATCAAACTGTTTTCACTTTCAGAGTGTGGACTGTGGTGTATAAATATACACCTGACTCTGGACTCACGGGTGCCTTGTTGGACTTTGACTTTTCCTAGTAGTTCAGGGCGTCCCCAGCATTTTTACAACCAAGGCCATGGCATCCGGGAAGGAGAGCTTTACTCTGCTTTCCAGTCTGGATGCCAGGCATTTCATTTTCTTATCTAACCATTCTGGCTAGAACCACCCGGAGGGCAAGCCTGGACCCTGATCAGTCTTTCTTCACCACATCTATGCTGGTTTTAAAGATACTCTTTATCACTTAAATTCCTACTCTAGGGACAGTCCCCTCCCTTCCCTGCCTTTTTTGGTTTCACTCTATAGCCCAGGTTGACTCTGAACTCAAGATGCCCCTGCTTTTGCCTTCCAGGTCCTGAGATCACAGATCCAACCCATCCTGTAAAGTTATTTCAAGGTCTCCATCTGATACAGAAAGCAAAGCACATTGTGACATTTACCTGGCTTTTTGTGCTTCACCAATCACTAAAAGTTTTGTTTTGTTTTTAAATTAGAGTAACATGGGGGGAGGAGAGAAAGTCTATGTATTATTTCTGGTTCTTCTGGAACTTTCTACATAAATAAGGTTGGTCTTGAACCCCTAAACTCACAGAGATCCTCCTGCCTCTGCCACCTAGCACCACCAATTCTGTGTGTATGTGTGTGTGTGTGTGTGTGTACAGGACTGTGCCACTTCTAGGTGCCCAGAGTCCAGATGAGGCTGTCTGCTGTCTTCCTAGCATTGTGTGCCTTACTCCCTGAGACAAGGTCTCTCAGTGAACCTGGGGCTAGATGGGCAGTGAGCTAACCACAGAGATCATTTTAGCTCCCCTCGCAGCGAGGTTAAGATGCAGGCAGCCCTCCCTGACATTTGACACAATTGTTGGGGATTTGAATCCAGGGTCTTTTGCTTATGCAGCAAGTGCTGGGACTGCTGAGTCACCTAATTTTGTCAAGAAAAACTGTTTAAACCCAAAAGTTTCTTATTAAAAGAGTCATTTTGACACAAAACAGGGCCAGTTGAAAATAAAGAATTTTTGTTCAAGCTACAGACCTTTAGGCACAAGAAAATCTTGCTACAGATTTGTCTTTGCTCTTCTAACGTTGGCACGGTGTGGCTGCAGGGCAGCCTGCTACTATGGAGAGAGAGTAGGAGAAGAATCCCTTAATAACTCAAGGATAAAAGGGTTTCTTCAGCAGACCTCCCTCATGACCAGAAAAACACTTAAGCTTATCAACCACCTCTCTTGAAACTTTAAGGTGGAGTGGGCAAGATAACACAGGCCTGATGCTTCTCTGCGGCCTTCAGCAATCATCTCACATGGCTGGCCGCTTGGGAAGAAGTAGCTGTCATGATTGGCAGCGAGTTAAGAACAAAAGATACAATAATTGTATCAATAATGTTTGCTGCCTGACAAAATATAAAATGCAAGGACCTCTGTGTCTGGTAGCAAAAACCGGGCCCTTACTGCTCTAAGGAGGCTGCTTCCTTTCGCAGCTTTTATGTTTTTACATAAACTTTGTCGGTTTCCTCTGCTCAGGTAAAGAACAGCCTTTATTGTGCCTTTGCCCGTGTTCTCAGGCTAGTACAGGAAGCCCTGCCCTAGCACTTATTACTGTATTTCCACATCTGCATCACCCAGTAGTCCACGTGGTCCAGAAGCAGCCAGATTCACTGTTTTCAGTTTTGGCACCCATCAGAAGGCCTTCTATACAGCAAGCCAGGAACAATTTTACACTTTGCAATTAAACTATAACAACATCTAGGATCTAGAATACGGCACCAGCTAGTCTACGTGTTCATGAGTGAACTCACATCATCCTGGGCCTTTTCCATCACCGTTCATCTCTAGTTCAGGACTAGAGGCAGCTCTGTAAGGTAACGGCAAGGATGAGAGGCTTAGTTGAGCGCTTGCCCGGTCCATATGAGGCCCTGGATTCAATGCTCGACACCATAGAAAACCAAGTGTTGTGGGGCATAGCTGAAATCCTAGCATTCGGGAAGAGGCAGGAAGTTCAGGAATTCGAGGTCATCCCTGGCTGCATTGGGAGTTTAAGACCAGCTTGGGTTATACTATGAGACCCTGCTCTTCCCCCTGCGCCGGCCCCTCAAAAAAGTTCTGCCCAATATAAAGCAGACCTAGCTTTAAAAAAGTGTGGAGTGTATGACAGAGCTCCTCTGGGGATCCACCTCACTCCTCTTAGCGCTCTCTGCTGGATCATTCCACGGGTTGAGGTGCTTGAAAACATGAGTCTAGAATGTGTGACAGCCAATTCCTTGTGTCGAATGAGAAGGCAACTCTTGTGACTTACAACATCAGCACCAGCCTCACTCTTCCATATCTACACAGCAGAACAAAACCAATCACGACAGGGCTGGAGGGAAGGCTGAGCAAGCTCTTTCAAAGGATCCCGCTCAATTCCCGGCACCTGAACGGTAGTTGGTTCACATGTGTGAACACGTGTGTTCGGGTGCATATGCAACGTCTGTGTGTCTGCCTGTAGAAGCCTGAGGTTGATCTCTGGCATCTTTCTTGATTAAATCTCTACCTTATTCAGCCAGGCAGGCTCTCTCAAATGAACCCAGAACTCATGGCTGTGGCTAGAGATTGCCCCCAACTGTACCTTCTGAGTGATGCAATGGTAGGCAGATCACTATGCAAGCCCAGCATTTACGTGGGTTGGTGATTTGAACTCTGGTCCTTCCGCCTGAGTATTTTATCCACTGAGCTAGGTCCCCAAACTCCCACCCCACCACTGCTATTTAGAGCTAGCAGGAATGTGTACACTTAATGGCTTTTTTTTTCTCTTTTTTCCCAAGACAACTGGAACCAGAAATAGCAAGCTTATTTCAAGAAAGCTGTCTTCTAAAAAGTAGGGAAAAGGGCTGGCCACTTCTCAGCTGGCATTCCACTCCTGCTGAGGGAAGGGAATGCTCCTTGCTCTCTGTCAAATGACAACAGCAGGGACGCAGCAGCTCTGAATTCTCAGGGACCACAGCAGGAAGTCAGTAACTTGAGGTGTACTAGAATGTAACATGTAATTCTCCTTTCTGGAGATCTTCATCATAGCCCAAGGATGTTAAAACCCTTAATTACAAAAGGAATTCAAAGCTAACCTTGAATAGATGAGAAACTGACTGCAAATTTTCAAGGCACAGCATCCTGAAGTGAATCTATCTACCGAGGGCCTGAGTCACAAAACCAACCAACCAACCATGGACACAGAACAAAGGGACAAAAATGGGCATAAAACCCTCCTACTGGCTCTACTGTCTCCTTCTTAGAAAATGCATCTCTCCTCATGTCTGCCTGAAGAATGACATTAAAAGGGGACCATCTTGCTAATGCAATAAGAAATTTAAATTCGTATATTTAAAGAAGCAAACAGATAGGAAGGCAACAGCTTGTCAGTAGTACAGTAACCAGGGTGTGGTGGCCTAGACTTTAATCCCAGCACTTGGGCGGTGCAGGAGATCACTGTGTGTCCAAGGCCAGCCAGGACTACGTAATTCTGACCCGTCTCAAAACAAAACAAATTAAAACAGCACATAGAAAGGCAAGGTATGGAAATTAGACTCCAGACCCACCTCCAATTCCTATTTCCTACAAGGCTGACATAAAGTTCACTGCTCATTTCCCGTCTGTGTATAAACCGTCCTTCACCTTTCATAACTATCTGTTTCTCCCCTCGTCACAAGTATTCTTACATTTTAGATGCCAGCAATACTCATCGAAAAATATGGAAAACCAACGCATGGGTGCGGATGGCCACTAATGGACAGGAACAAGTTACCCAAGGTGTAATTATGCCACATTTTCTGATCAGCCGGCACGATAAGATTTTATCTGCTACTTACTGAGAGCAAATTCCAGTTAGTTTACTTTCAAAATCTTACTCAGTTCAGTGATGTCCCTTCCTTCCTTCAAGTATTTAAATGACACATCAATGAATCAGACTTCGATCACCCAATTTAAACCCACAAACAGAGGTCCTCTTCAATTCCGAAGAATACTGCCTTTATTTTTCTCTAAGCACGTGTCAAATTAGTACATATAAAGTTAATATGGATAAGTACATATGCATATAGCAAACACACATACATGCTGTATATCTTGCGTGAAGTAAGCTCCAGCAAGAAAAGATTTTGTGGATCTATTACCCCAAACAGCTAGGAAAGTGCCAGCTACTGAATGGGCGACGCCATGAAATAATCAATACAGTTTGGAATCAAATCAAAGCGTAAATGCCATCCTTTCATTCCCGGATTTGCTCCTCTATGACCCGCACGATTAGGCACCCGCGTCCAGAACTTTTCCCACGTCTCCCTGGCTCCAACAGGTGAGCTGGGAAAGACCTGCGCATGCGTGTCAGTGGGTGCCCGGCCACACGGACTCTGCTCTCCGAACCTTCGCCCAGGCGTGGGCAGATCCCCGCCACCTAGGTGACCCGTCCTCCCGCCCTCCTCACCTCTCCGGCTGCTCGCCAGCGCGGCCACACGCCCGG